CCTCCAGACACAGTTGAAGGAGATGCAGAAGCAGTTTCAGCAGAGAATCCAGCAGAGAGAAAAAGATCTTCAGCAGCTAAGAGAGGCTGTGGAGTCTCATAAGGTGAGTCTGGAGAAGATGAGAAGTTTGTCTCAGTGTCAGTTAGGACTCTTGTCTTTCAGTCCCACTGAAGCCATGTGTGATTGTGATGTGTGTCCTAACAGCGCTCTGCACAGACAGCAGTGGAGGACAGTGAGAGGATCTTTACTGAACTCATCCGCTCCATTGAGAGAAGCCACTCTGAGCTGATACGGCTTATCACAGTTCAGGAAAAGGCTGCAGTGAGACGAGCTGAAGGACGACTGGAGCGACTGGAGCAGGAGATCAATGATCTGAGGAGGAGAGACGCTGAGCTGGAGCATCTTTCACACACACAGGATCACATCCAGTTCCTGCAGGTAACAGAGCTCTAGAAGAACAGGATCATAGTGGACTTGAGCAAGATCCTGATGTGAGAGCAGACTCACAGAGAAACATTTCATGAGTGCAGAAGTGGTTAACCCTTACACAAAGAAAATAAATTTCCTTATGTATGAATGATCAATATATTAAATGATTTAACTCTAATTAGTATTATATTGTGTTATTATATTGCAATATATTGAATAACACATAAGGAATTGCCACTTTCCATATAGTGAAAAATATGTGACAATATATTTACTTATATCATAATATATTCAGTAATACACTTCATGACATATAGATGTACATATAATAAGACATGGTACTGCATGTGTATAAATATATCGAACATATATTTACTCATGCAATGTATACACACATATAGAAATATATAATATAGAGCTTAGATTTTATAATAAATTGAATTATATATGTATACTTTCATATATAGCTAGTCAACATTAGCACAAGCATACCTGCATGTCCTAAAGTATTTAGCAAAGAGACGTTCACTGTGCTGACTTTCATATATAGCTAGTCAACATTAGCACAAGCATACCTGCATGTCCTAAAGTATTTAGCAAAGAGACGTTCACTGTGCTGAAGAGTGCACAGCTATTACTTTTTTAAGTATCATATTGTCTTGTGGTGTTCAGCCAATCGTCAGCCTAACCACAGGCTCTACTCTTCAGCACAACGGTAACCCCAAAAACTCAGAATTGCCAGAAAGCCTTTTAAATTCCAAAAAAATGCAACATTAAAAACCTAACAGATCTCCCCCTATATTAATATTGAGCAAAAACACATGAAATAACATTTAATTTAAACATTTACTCTCCTTAACAGTCAGAAGCAAAGCATGCTGGGAATCAGAAATCTACTCATTCCGTGAATGTGTGTATATATCAGGGATGGTAAGATTCACTGATTCGCATCGGAATAAAAGTTAACGATGCGATGAATCGATATAAAAAAAGTATGCATTGATACAGGTTGGCATTTGTATCATGATGCATCGTTTCTAACATATTTAATTGGTAAAAACTGTATATTCCCATATATTTTTGTTTAGTAAGGGATGTAATCATTCATAATTTTTTGCTAATTTTGTCTTCTTACAACATTGTTTATAAACTTGATAACCAGTGTTCACCCAGCTAGATTTTCCAGCATGTTTTAGTAATGTTCACTAACATTGGGTCAGGTGATCTTCAAATCTGACTTTTATTTTCATAACTTTTTCCCTGTAACACATTGATGAATTTTAACATGAAGACCCCAAACAGGAAGTGAGGTTGTGTATTAAAAATGCTTAAGCATAAAGAAATCACAGAAAACCTGCTCTTGCCTAAAGGGTCCTTGTGCAGTATCAGGACAGAATCAATAACCGGTTAAAATTTATGAATAATCTTCAATCTATTGACAGACTTTAAACTTCTTTTCCTTAGCAAATGTACTCAATCCTACAATGTGACACCACTGACTTGTTACATTGACATTTATGTTCTTAGAAGATGTTTTACTATTCAAATGCATGAAAAAGGCATTTCAGCCCACCAAAATAGGTGGGCAGACTGCCTATATAAGTCAGAGCTGAATTCCATTAATTCGAATATTTCTCCTTTAGCGTGAAGATCATCTTCTTGCTGTACTCTGAAGTAGAACTAAGAAGCCTGCTACTCGCTGTAGAAGTGCCCCGGCAGCAGAAAGATGCTCTTCCCTCAGCGGTTCCCCGCTGCGGCTATCCAACAAACCCAAAAGATCAAATTATGAGCAAATTTCCTGCTATGTTTGATTCAAAATGTCGTGCCATGAATGCGGCTTGTGCAGGGTGGCCCTGGATGCCTCGGATGGTTACAGTGAGTGCGCCACTTGCCTGGGCCGCACCCATGCTGAGATTGTGTTTGTTGAGACAGACTGCTCTCACTGCGAGAGCATGAGTCTTGCCTTCCTTCCCTTGAGGATCACCGTCTTTCATGATAGTGGCCCCGCCCCAGGGGTCTCCCATTTCTCCGCTCTCAGGAGCCTCAGAGGAAGAAACAGCAGCGTCAGAGGGCTGAGCATTCGGGCTCGAGAGCACGTGATTTACTCTCCCCACAGTGAGATGATCGCCAGGTGCTCTTCTCCCTTAAAGAACAGGGGCCCTCGAC